TCTGGTCACCACACTATGAAAAAGATGTTGAGACTCTAGAAAAAGTGCAGAGAAGAGCAACCAGGATGATTAGGGGATTGGAGGCTAAAACATACAATGAACGGTTGCAGGAACTGAGCCTAGCTAGTCTAGTGAAGAGAAGGACCAGTGGAGACATGATAGCAGTCTTCCAGTATTTGAGGGGTTGCCCCAGAGAGGAGGGGGTCAAGCTATTTTCCAAGGCACCTGTAGGTCAGACAAGGAATAATGGATGGAAACAGAACAAGGAGAGATTCAACCTGGAAATAAGGACAAACTTTCTGACAGTGAGAGCAATCAACCAATGGAACAGCTTGCCCTCGGAAGTTGTGGGAGCACTTACTAAGTGTGTATAGCTTTACTAAGGTCATCACTTGAAACTTTCAAGAAGAGATTGGACTGCCATTTGTCAGAAATGGTGTAGGGTCTCCCGCTTGGGTGGGGGGTTGGACTAGATGATCTACAAGATCCCTTCCAACTCTGATTATCTGTTAATCTGTTAAATGAATGATAGTAAGTAGAGGACTACTTACATCTGTATTGTTTGATTGGCACAATTCCAGGCTGGTAATCCCTCAATAAAATTGCACTTCTTACAAACTTAAATAATCATCAGTTTTGCAAACATTTGAACAGTTTTTCCCAAATTACCATAAACGCCATACCATATGATTTTTTTTTCCAAATCATAGTTTTTTTCAGAATCTTAGACAGGGTATGGAATTGTCCATATTCTCCAAATCAAAAGAAAGCAGGACAAGAAGCAATAAATGGAATCTAATCAAGGAGAGATTTAACCTAGAAATAAGGAGAAATTTCCTAACAATTAATCAGTGGAACCACCTGCCACCAGAAGTTGTGAGTGCTCTAACACTGGAGGTTTTTAAGAAGAGACTGGACAGCCATTTGTCACAAATTCTATAGGGTTTCTTGTTTGAGCAGTGGGTTTGCTACATGGCCTCCGAGGTTCCTTCCAACTCTTATTCTATCTTTAAGAAACACTAACAAATTTCAGGGATGAAAAACCTGGTTTTGCTTCGTCCTCTAATAAGTCTTGCTGGCTTGAAAAACCTAATTTATACTGCAAAACGTCACTCTTGCCATTATGAAATCAAGGAGTTATAACTTTTAGCACACTTTTTAAAAAAAGGAAAAGAGAGAAAGCAGCAAGACGTTAGCCAAGTTCCTAAAATTAATTCCAACAATTATGGAAAGCCGCTTTAAGTGGCATTCTGCAAAATGTAGCAAATCTGATTTATTGACCGATCAATCAATAAAGTGCCCAGAGTGGATTTCCAAGGTTATTTTTCTGCCGGATCGCTAGACTGCTGTCATTCAATGGAGTGCAAAGCAGGAAAGATTTATTTCAAACAGGGCTTGCGCAAAATGTAGAGTTCCGTGAGGATTTTATGGGGTTCTGTTTAAGAAATAAAATTCACGCAAATGCTTCTGATTTTCTGTCGTTGCATCAGTTTCTCCCAAGTGTGATTTGAGACCCCTTGCAAATCTCTCCAAACATTCTCAAGTTTGCAAAATAAAAATTATTTGCCCACCTACACCGAAAAATAATATTAACATTTATTTATGTATTTCATATTTCTTAACCTCCCTCTCTCCATACCACTGCACAAAGCAAAGCAAAAAGATTTTGGGTGAAAATGTATATGTGGTTAGAAAAAATGTTAAGCCAGCATATAGATTCTAAGCCAGAACTATTTTTGTTTGGCATAAGACCAGTACAATATGACAGTGAATATATATTTGATATTGTATGTTTTAACAGCAGCCAGAATTGTATTTTGCACAAGATTGGAAAAGCGAGGAAATACCTACAGAAGATGTAATTTAAAAAATACTGGACTGTGCAGAAATGGACAGATTAACAATGAAGATAAAAGAAAAATAGAGTATTTTCAAAGTTGGGATTTATAGAATAGAATAGAATAGAATAGAATAGAATAGAATAGAATAGAATTCTTTATTGGCCAAATATGATTGTTCACACAAGGAATTTGTCTTGGTGCAAATGCTCTCAGTGTACATAAAAGAAAAGATACATTTGTCAAGAGTCAAGAATCATAAGGTACAACACTTAATAATAATCATAGGATACAATAATCAATCAAATCATAGTAGGAAACAGTCAATAAAAACTGTTAGGATACAAGCCACAAAGTTACAGTCATAAAGGAAGAGACGGGTGAAAGGAAGAATGGGAGGATTAATAGTAATAATAGTGCAGACTTTGTAAATAGTTGGACAGTGTTGAGGGAATTATTTGTTTAGCAGAGTGATGGCTTTCGGGGAAAAGCTGTCCTTGTGTCTAGTTGTTCCGGTGTGCAGTGCTCTTTAGCGTCATTTTGAGGGTAGGAGTTGAAACAGTTTATGTCCAGGATGTGAGGGGTCTGTAAATATTTTCAGCCCTCTTTTTGACTCATGCAGTATACGGGTCCTCCATGGAAGGCAAGTTGGTAGTAATTGTTTTTTTCTGCAGTCCTAATTATCCTCTGAAGTTTCTGTCTGTCCTGTTGGGTTACAGAACCAAACCAGACAGTTATAGAGGTGCAAGATGACAGACTCAATAATTCCTCTGTCGAACTGTATCAGCAGCTTATTTTATAACGGTTAGACAATAGAGATAGAAATTAGGAGCTTGAGATGTAAACGAATTGACCCAGATAGTATTGTATGCAAAGAAAATAAAAATAAAAAAGCATACATACATACATACATACATAAACAATTTAAAGTGGTAGTAACAGCAAATGCGTCCATTTTAATGTTTCATATGGTCAATATTGATAAATTTAACTTTTTATTTTACAATGAAAAAGTACTTTTGGGCTACTGTGAGATTCAACGTTGGAAGGGGAAAAGATTAAACACTGCAGTAGAGTTTTGTCTCATTAATTGTTCAATATTTTTACAAAAAATTACAAAATTAAATACAGTATCACAGCTTGAACACCCCTGTCGTAGTGCAATCTGTCCCAACTCAGGCCCTCTCTATAAATATGGATTTCAAGTCCCAGAATCCTCTAAGCACCCATGGTGGGTGGAGAATTCTGGGAATTGTTATAATCACTATGGAGAATGTAGAATGGGAAAAAGTGCTTTAATAAAAGGGATATGGTCTCAAATTCCCTCCCTAGCAGACAAACCACCACCAAATGCTGGGATGTCGTCATTTCAGCTGTAATTTAATTAAAGCAATTTTGTGTTTCTATTTGTGTGTTTCCTGGACTACTGTTCGTAACCTGTTATGATGGGCCACCAAAAGGCTGTGCATCTTTATCAAGCTAAGACTGGGAATGAATGTGAAGAACTGGCAGATATCCTAAGCCAGTTTTCCTCAACCTTGGGAACTTTAAGGGAGGTGGATTTCAACTCCCAGAATCCCCTAGCCAGCATTGAATTCTGGGAGTTGAAGTCCACACCTCTTAAAGTTCCCAAGATTGGAGAAATACCATTCTGTACTGCCTTAATAAAGCAGCATTTTTCTTGACTTCTGGGTGAAGGAAAGAAAGCGGATGTGTAAATAATTCTAGGTTAAATCGGCGTTTCTCAGATTTGTCAACTTTAAGAGATGTGGACTTCAACTTCCAGAATCCCCTAGCCAGCATTTAATTCTGGGAGTTGAAGTTACAGTTCCCAAGGTTGGAGAAACACCCTTCTGTGCTGTCTTAATAAAGCAGCATTTTTCCTGACTCCTGAATTAAGGAAAAAAAGGCAGATGTGTAAGTAATTCTGGGTTAAATTGAGGCTTCTCAAAATTTTGCAACTTTAAGACAGGTGGACCTCACCTCCCAGAATCCCCCAGCCAGTGTGTCCACATGCCTTAAAGTTTCCTAGTTTGAAAAACCCCAGCTTAGATCTTGGCATCTTTGACTATAAAGTTTCAGCAGGGTGAAACAAAGTGTTGTGACCTGTTGGCAGCTGGCCCTTCCAGTGAACGAATCACAGGAGGCAGCGGCCTGGGAGTCAGGATCAGCATGAGAGCTCCTAGGGGGAAGAGGAAATGGAGCTGGCAGAGACAGACACAGAGGCAGGCTGTTGAGGTAATTCCCCGTTAGGAGAATGAGCACATACAGGGAGACATATTTGAGAGTAGTGTTTGAATAATACACACACAGCACACAGATACACTGTACAGTAAATGTAGGTTTTTACTTCCAGAAACGTTAAGCAAAGTTCAAACACAGTCCAAAGTCATTCACAGGTAAGGCAGTCAATTTTCAGTCCAGGGATAATTCAATAACAAAGTCCAGTGTCAAAAACAGTTCAGTAACAGACTTACATCAAATCAATGAATAACGGTCAATTAGGAGGAACGGCAATACTCTCCAACAGAAGGAAAAACAGAGACTCACTGAGACTAAGACTAAACAACCCAGGTTTCTGGCTCCATCTTATGGCCGTTTGAGAAACCACACCCAATTACAGTTTTTTTGCCTTTTCTTAAAGAGACAGTATTAAAATGTCTATCCTGTTTATATATTTCCAACCCAAATAGCTGTTAGGTGACTTATATTCCTAATACAGACCCCCAGGTCCAGAGGTGGCTGATGAGGAAGAGGAGGAACAGCTGGGTCCAGTGCCTAATGCACAGCTGCGCAGAAGGCAAGAGAGGAGAGCAGTGGAAATCTAAGGGCCGGTCCTCGGGACAGAAGAGCCACTGCTGATAGTGAAGCCCCACCCAGCTCTGGAGATAAAAGACAGAGGGCGGAAACAAATAGATGCGGCAGACAGCTATTCATCTTCCGGCCAGCCAGATTTGTTTGCCTGCAGTGAGAGAATTTTTTTGCTGGGGCTGCCGGCTCTCCTAATAAAGGAATATTTGAGTTAACTTCAGATTTTTTTTTTGTCATATTTGGGGAGCTGGGTCAGAACTCAATAATTTCAAAATTATGTCTTTGTGTTGTGGTGATGTGAGTGGGCAGGAAGAAGAAAGAAATCCAGACGTTTCTATTTTTACTGCGCGAGACATTTATTGTGCACCATTTCAACTGTCTACAAACAAGCCGTGCGAGCCGCAGCCTCCTTCAGTGTTTGTTCATTTCGGCTAGCATCCACCGGTGGTTCTGAATAATTTCATGCAACTTGGTGTATTCTTCTACTAACTTCTCAAATTCCGGCCCTAGGACCTCGTATTTCGAAAGGACACTGCGGAAAGTGGCTACATTTATTTCTTCCTTGCTCAAGCTCTCCTGCAGTTCGTCCCTGGAGAAGAATAAAAGTGTCATGCCCTTGTTAGAATCTGACTCCGTGGGCTCTGGCTCCAGAAGTTGTGGGGGAAACTGGGGAAGGGCACAGACCGGTTGGGTATTCAGAGGAAGGCCTAGGCCCATCCCCTCTTCATCCTAGGGCACGCAGGGAGAAACGGATAAGGGAGAAACGTGAATGGCGTGGTCTACGGGGGAGGAAAAGGCCTTGATCCCCTTCACGGGCTGCAGCTGTGAGGACTGTTTAAAAGAACAAACTGCACATGGGCCAATGCTGGAAGCAAAGCGTGAAAATATTTCTAGTCTGTTAGTTCTTATCTGAGTTCTGGCTTTCAATATCTGTGGACATCTTCAAGCCCTTATCCTGCCTAGTCTCATTAATTGCTTCAGTGTAGTTTGTGTTGTTTTTTTTCCTATTTATAATTTATAGATATTTTGAGTTTGAATGGAAGTTCTTCCTTTTTGCAACTGTTTGTGGGGAAGTTTTTTTCTCCTGTCAATGATAATTGGACCTTTGAAGCCAAGTTGAAGGAATTAAAGGGACTTCCCCTGTTTCTGTGACTTTGTTGCTTTTGTATCCCATCCCAGGTCATCACAGAAAGAACTGATAAAACATACACAGGTAGTCCTCGGCTTATAACAAGTTCACTCAAAGGGCCCTGAAAACAGTGACTTTAGGACAATTTTGGCAGAGGATCGACCGTGGCGTTCTACGTCAAAATTCAGACGTTTAGCAACTGGTCTGTATATATGAAGGTTGCAGTGGGTCCGGGGACCTCGTGATCCCTTTTTTGCGACCTTCTGATAAGCAAACTCCACGGGGAAGCCAGATTCCCTTACGCGCCGTGTAACTAACTTTTGTGATTCATTTAACAACGGCAGCAAGAAAAGTTGTAAAATGGGGCGAAGCTCATGTCGAACCCGAAATCGACATAGATGTAGCCATTTTATTTAGCTCTATATTCTCATCATGCATTCCTTTCTCTTTGCTGGTATAAGGCGGGAGGGTTTCGGCTCGCCATCTTCTTAAGGTAGGAGGAATGGTTAGATCCGTGATGGCAAACCTAGCACACAGAGCCATTTCTGCTGGCACGTGAGCCGTCACCCGGAACTGATGCACTGGGACGACAAAAAGATTAGCCATCACTGCGTAAGATAATGAGGATTGTTTTTGGCTAGGTGACTTTCCTTCCCGTAGGAACAGACCTGCCGAGACCTGGAGGTGAAAATTGAAGACACCAGGCGACATTGATTTAATTCTATCGGGGAATGTTGACTTTTGTGGGTTGTTCCTCATTTATAATGCTACAATGTGGGGTAATTAGGTTTGTGTCAGATCCAGAATTACAACAGACTTTGTCCAATTTGATGCTTACCTAAATAAAAGAGATTTGTTTTGGAAGATGGGGCGCTTTGCTGATTTCTTTTTGAATGGGTTTCATGACTTGGAAACCTGACAGCTCACCTCACAACTGTCTCATTTAGGAACAGAAATCTGGAGCTCAACTGTGGCCGTAAATCCAGGACTACCTGCACTCACTTCTAACTACACTCGTGGGACCCTCAAGATTCTCACGTCACTCCTCCACCTGCCACCATAAAGTTATTTTTTTCTCTCCCAAACTATGCAGAAACATCACAGTGGTTGGAATGGGGTCTGTCTAGTTTAATGAAAAGAAGGACTAGGGCAGGCACGATAGCAATGTTCCAGTATTTGAGGGGCTGCCACAAAGAAGAGGGAGTCAAGCTATTCTCCAAAGCACCTGAAGGAAGGACAAGAAGCAATGAGTGGAAACTAGTCAAGGAGAGGAGCAACTTAGAACTGAAGAGAAATTTCCTGAAGGTTAAAACAATTAACCAGTGGAACAACTGGCATCCAGAAGTCGTGGGCACTCTGTCACTGGAGGCTTTTAAGAAGAGACTGGACAGTCCCTTATCTGAGGTGGTATATATTCTCCTGCTTTTACAGGGGGCTGGACTAGAAGACCTCCAGGTCCCTTCTAGCTCTATTCTATTCTGTTCTATTTCTATTCTTTTCTATTCTATTCTATTCCTATTCCATTTCAATTTATTTTATTTTATTATTCTATTCTATTCTATTCTATTCTATTCTATTCTATTCTATTCTATTCTATTCTATTCTATTCTATTCCACTCCATTCCCATTCTGTTCTATTCTATTCCTATTTGTATTCTATTCTATTTCTGTTCTATTCTTTATTTTATATAACAGCATCGAACATGTTACTTTAAGAAGTAATATACACTTTAAGAAGAGATCAGACAGCCACTGGATTGTTATAAGGGCTTCTGCTTGAGCAGGGGGCTGGACTAGAAGACCTCCAAGGACCCTTCCAACTATTGTATTGTGTATTGTATAGTATTTTGCATTGTATTTTATCGTATTGTGCATTATATTGTATTTTGTATTGTACTGTATTCCCTTCCATTCTATATCTTCCCTTCTCTTCCCTTCCCTCCCATCCTTTCATCAGCTCACCTGATCATCTGATGCACGTTCACTATCTCAGGTGTGTAAGTTTCCAACAGGATCTTCATTTCCTCGACCCTAGAAGCAGCAAAATAGTTTGGAGTGGGGATTGGTAGATGTGAATACTCCAACGTTGGAAGTTTTTTTTTTTTTTTAAAGGGACTTTTGCCACCGATTGGTCTGTCTGGAGAAGGTTTTCTACCAACCAACCAAACCAAACCAACCACTCTTTAACAACATGTGGAAAGTTGCCCACTACAAGAAAAGTCTGTTAGGAGTGTTTTAATTGGGTAAACCATTTTTTTGACTTCCAATTGAGGAAAGGAGCTCACTGTATCTTCAGCAACAAAGCATTGGTTTTCATCTCCATATACTGGATGAGGACCTGGTCCAGGTCGGACTGGGCCCCAAGGCAAAACTCCTGGGCCATTCGTCTCAAGAGGCCCAAACAACGCCCCAAGACCTGAAACGAACGAGGAACAACAGTGCAAAGAGACAATCACAAAGGAAGGCGTGAAACACTTTTTAAGTTATCGTAAACATTTATCCCTTGCCCAGGTCAATCTTGTGGGACAACTGCACCCTTTCCTGGAAGGCCAGTCTCTCCTCAGAGTAATTCATGCCTGAGACGCCTCAAGTGAACCAATCTGCTTTAGTGGCGAAAGTGCTGGGCCAATCACTAGGAGACAGGGAGTTCTAGTCCCGCCTTAGGCATGAAAGCTGGTTAGGTGACTTCGGGCCAATCACCAGGAAAGGATGAAAGAAAGAAGGAAGGAAGGAAGGAAGGAAGGAAAGAAGGAAGGAGGGAAGGAAGGAAAGGAGGGAGGGAGGGAGGGA